ATATATATATAAATATGTTATATAAATATATAAAATGCCCAAAAATAGTGTTTCCCAGGGCCATTATAATTTTTATATATGGGATAATAATATACAGGTAGTTAATCCTTTGGTTGCATATTTAGTTCAAAGAGTGCTTTCATACAGCTATTTTTTACCAAGAAAATGCAATAATCCCTTTGAGTACTATATTTTCTACATGGAAACATTTAATAAAAAATATAGTTACATCTTTAGGTTTTCTTAAAGAACAGTCATACATACAGAGTTTTCAAGCTTGCATTATTTATTCATCTCATTGCATATTCATATTAGAGCCACACCTAGAATCCAGGTCTGTTTTACTTTCTTGATTACCATCGCTTCATAGTAATACTTGAAATAGGGCAGTGTTTGTCTTCCAACTTTGTTAATTTTCAAAGTTGTTTTGAATATTCTAGATCTTTTGCATTTTCATATGAATTTTTAGAATCTTTTCTTTTTTTTTAATGTTTATTTATTTTTGAGAGAGACAGAGTGCAAGCAGGGGAGGGGCAGAGAGAGAGAGAGGCAGACACAGAATCTGAAGCAGGCTCCAGGCTCTGAGCTTTCAGCACAGAGCCCGACACGGGGCTTGAACTCACGAACTGCAAGATCATGACCAGTCATGATCAAGATCAGTCAGCCGCTTAACTGACTGAGCCACCCAGGTGCCCCTAGAATCATTTTGTAACAATTTCTACAAAAATGCCTCCTGGAATTTTAGCTGGGTTGTGTTGTATGTACAGATTCATTTGAGAAGAATTGACATCTTAATGAAACTGTTTTAAGTCTTTGAACCTGTGAACTCATTATATCTCTGCATTTATTCAGGTCTTTAACTTCTCTCAACAATGTTTTGTAGTTTTCAGTGTATAGGTCTTTCATTTTGTCAGATTTATCCCTAAGTATTATATGTGTTTGGATGCTATACAAATGGTGTTGTTTTGTTTGGTTTACTGATAGTATACGGAAGTTGATTTTTGTATGCTGATTTTGTACTTGGCAAACTTGTAAACTCATATATTAATTATGCTTTTTTGTAAGCGCTGTTATATTTTCTACATAATCATGTTGTCTGTCATTAAAGATAGTTTTAATTTTTCCTTTCTAATATGGATGGCTCATTTCTTTCCTGCAATATTTATTGGACTACTTTGAACCTCCAGGGCTTTGCTGAATAGAGAACACTGAGAGCTGATCCCCATGCTTTGCTCCTGATTTTAGGAAGAAGACATTCAGTCTTTCACCACTGAATATGATATTAACTGTAGGTTTTTCATAAATGCTTTTATCAGGTTGAGGAAGTGCCTTTCTGTTCCTAGTTTGCTGAAAGTTTTTATCAGAAATGAATGTTAGTTTTGTCAAACACTTTTTCTGAGGTGTTTCTATGGTTTTTCTTTTTTAGTTTGGGAAAAATGATTAGTTATATCAATTGATGTTTGAATATTAAACCAACCTCAGAATAAACTCAACTTCTTCATGGTGTGTTATCCTCTTATATATTGTTGAATTGGATTTATTAAAATTTTGTTTAGAATCTTTTCTTGTATGTTCAGTAGGGATATTGACCTGTAGTTTTCTTTCCTTGTAATATTTTTGTCTGGTTTAGAATCAGAATAATGCTGACCTTAATGAAAAAGTTGGAAAATATTGCCTCCTTTTTTGTTTTTCTGAAAGAGTTTGTATAGATTAGATGTTATTTCTTCCATAAGTATTTGGTAGAATACTCCAGTTAAACTATCAGGGTGTGTGATTTTGTAGGTAAGGGTTTTTTTGGTAGCTTGTATCTTCCAAGGGATTTGTCCCATTTTATCTCAGTTGTCAAGTTGAACAACTGACATTAAAACATTAAAACATTAAAATTGTTCATAATATTGGCTTACTGTCCTTTTTAATATATGTAGAATTCGTAGTGATATCATCTCTCCCATTTCTGATATTGGCAATTTGTTTCTGTTCTTTTTTATTGCTGATCAGTCTTCCTAGAGACTTGTCAATTTTATTGATCTTGTTAAAGAACTAGCTTCCATTGATTTTCTCACTTTTTTTGTTTTTGTTTTCTACTTCAGTGATTTCCATTCATCTTTACTATTTGCTTTTTCTATTTATTCCAGTAAAATTTGCTCATCTTTTTCTAGTTTCTTAAAATGAAAGCTAAGGTCATTGACTTGAGACATTCCTTTATAATGTAGGCATTTAGTGGTATTAATTTCTCCCTAGGTATTGCTTTAGCAACACTCCATAAATGTTTTCATTTAGTTCAGAAAACTTTCAAATTCCATTTTTATTTGTTCTTTGACCCATGAGTTATTTAGAAGTGTGTGTGTGCCATGTAGTTTCCAAATACTGGGGAATTTTCCAGATGTCTTTCTATTAATGTGTCTAATTTAATTCTGTGGTAGTCAGAGAATATACATTGTATGGCTTGAAATTGCTTGAGATGTTTTTAAATTTATTGAGATTTATAGTCTCTAATACAGCCTGTCTTGGCAAATGTTCTGTGTGCATTTGCAAAGAATGTGCATTCTGCTGATGTTACCTAGAATGTTTTAGAAATATCAAGACTGTTGTTCAAGATTGTATCCTTACTAAATTTCTGTCTACTTGTTCTGTCTGTTATTGAGAGAGGAGTTTTAATTTTCTGGTGTAACTATGTATTTGTCTAATTCTCCTTGAAGTTTTCAGTTTTTATTCATTACATCTTACAGCACTGTGATTGAGTGCTAATATCTATGATTGTTTTGTCTTGTTAATTTAACCCCTTTATTATTAGGAAATGACCTTCCCTGGTAATGTTCTTTAGTCTGAAATCTATTTTTCTGATAGCAGTATACCCACTCTAGTTTCCTTTTTCTTTAGTGTTATATGGGTGTACAGATGGTCCCCAACTTATGATGATTCAACTCATGATTTTTCAGCTTTACAATAGTGCAAAATGAATAAGGCATTCAGTAGAAGCCATATTTTAAGTTTCTGATTTTCGTCTTTTCCTGGGCCAGCGATATGGAGTACTATACTCTCTTGTGATGCTGGACAGTAGCAGCAAGCCACAGCTCCCAGTCAGCCATGCAGTCACAAGGGTGAACAACCAACACACTTGCAACCATTCTGTGCCCATACAACCATTGTATTTTTCACTTCCAATACAGTATTCAATAAATAACATGAGATATTCAGTACTTTATTATAAAATAGGTCTTGTGAGACCCATCATAACTGGAGGAAGATCTGTATCTTTTTCTACTCTTTTACTTTAAACCTATTTGGGACTTTTTGAAGTACATGTTTTTTTTAGGGAGCTTATACTGTTGGGTCTTGATTTTTTAATCTTATCTGGTCATTTCAGCCTTTTAATTGGGTTATTTAGACCATTTACACTTAGTGTGTTGATCCTGTTTGGTTTCCTACATGTTCCATTTGTTCTTTGTTTTTTAACAATAAATTATCAATTTTTTAACAATTATCTTTTAAAGAGATATAAATAATAAGAAAAAATCTGTATACATTACCTGTGTAGTGGCCATTGCCAGGGCTTTTCATTCCTTTGCATAAGTCCATATTTCCATCTGGCATCATTCTGTCTGAAGCATTTTAACATTTCTTATAAAGCAGCTTTGCTGGGGATGAATTCTTTCAGCTTTTATATTTCTGAAAGAAGTCATTATTTAGTCTTCGTGTTTGAAAGATTTTTTCATTGGGTATCAAATCCTAGATTGATAGTTTTGGAGATTTTTTTATTTGTTTTTAGTTCTTCAGAGATGTTGTTCCACTGTATTCTCACAGGCTTCGTTTCTAATGAAAAATCTGTCGTCTATATCCTCTATACATTCTGTATCCTCTAACATGTCTCTTTTTTTTTTTTTTTTTTTTTTTTTTTTTTTTTTTTGGCTTTTAAGAATTTTTCTTTCCCAGTGGTTTGAATAACTCGATTATGATATATATAGTTCAGTTTTCATATTTCTCATGCTTGGGATTTTTGAGCTGCTTTATCGGTGGGTTTATAGTTTTAATCAAATTTGGAAAAATTTTGAAGACTCATGGAGTCTTCAGATATTTCATTCTACCTCAACTTTTCTTTCCATTGCTTCAGGGATTCTGATTACATGTATATTAGGCTATCTGAGTCATGCTACCACTCACTGATGCTCTGCTAATTTTTTTTTTCTGGGTTTGTTTTTCAATACTCCCTTTTCTCTCTGTAGTCTGTTCTGGATGGTTCATATTGCTGTATCTTCACTTTCACTAATATGCTATTCCCCCCAATGTATTTTTCACCTCAACACGTTGTAAATTTTACCTCTAGGTGTTCTGTTTGATTCTTTTTTGTATCTTTTGTTCTCTCCCTAACTTTTTGAACATATAGAATATTATTTTAATAACCTTAATTCTTTTATCTGGTAACTCCATCTTTTGTATAAATTCTTGATTATTTTCCATTGACTGGTTTATGGTTCATGTTGTCCTACTTCTTTGCATACTTGGTAGATGTTGTGTGCCACACATTGTGAATTTTACTTTGCTGGATGCTAGATATTTTTGTGTCTTGTATTTTTGAGCTTTATTCTGGGATACCACAAAATTATTTGGAAACAGTTTGATCCTTTCAGGTTTTGTTAGGCAGGACTAGGAGAATGTTCAGTTTAGGGCTATTTGTTCTCCACTGCTGGAGCAAGACCCTTTTGTATGCTCTCCTCAATGCCCCATGAATCTTGAAATTTTCTGATCTGGAAGGGGTGGGAAAAGTGGCCATGCCATCTGAGCACAGGGCACTCCTGGTCTTCTCTGGTCATTCTTTCTTCAGCCTTGAGCAGTTTCCTGCCTGTGTGCACTGAATACTAGAAGGGGAGCCTCTAAGGATCTTCAGAGTTCTCTCTTGGTCTTCCTGGATGCTTCACACAATCTTCTCAATCTGCTAAGCTCTGCCTGGGTTTCCCCTCCATGCACTGAGGCATACACACTCTCCCAAGACAGTAAGCTGGGGCAGTCGGTCATAGGGTTCACCTCTTAGTTTGCGTGTCTCCAGGATTGCTGCCTTCCCTGCCTAATCTCTGTTATCTTCATAACATTTTTTATGTCTTTTGGCCCTATGTCGGTTTTTTTAGATAGGAATCAATTCAGTCTCTGTCATACTGGCTAGAAGCAAAAGTTCTCTTTAGTAATTTGAATAGTGAGTAACAGCTTTTCAAAATTATTTTATAGTGCCTTTTTAAGATCTGTTAGTGTTACTTTCCCTATTTTCAATTGAAAAAAAAGTATACCCAGCAAACTTAAGCATAACCATAATAAATATTGAAAGAGCTTAAATTCTGTCTCTAAAAACCCAAAACCAAGGTCCTCGCTAAATAAAAACACTCAACCTGAGGACCTGCTCCAGTGCTCCTTTTTTGTCATCACCTTTAAAATGAGATATTTATCAAAATAAAATAAAATCGTTAAAAGTTTAACAACATAAGATTTTTGGGTAGGTAAAACTTAAACTTAGCAGCGCCACGCCTAGGGAACAAAAGCTGGATAGTCATTACAAGTGTCATGTTTATAGCAAATACTTACCCCAATAAGCAGTGCTTCCCATCAATAGATATTGTACCCCTCATGTTATTCCTAGCCTTAGATAAAGGGGGAAGTCTCTGGGCACCCAAAATACTGCTTCCACCCCCATCCTCTTCCTGTGTTCTTTAAACCTCTAAGTATCACCAACTTAAAGATACTTAAGCATCGTAAGAAACAGCTGAGGCCTAGCTAAAAACTTTTATCTAACTACTTGTCTCTCCAGTTTAATAACTTGGTGTTTATGTTTTTAGGAACATAGCTACAGTGTAATGGACAGTCCAAAGAAACTTAAGCATAAATTAGATCATGTGATCAGCGAGCTAGAGGATACCAAGAAAAGTCTGCGGAATGTTTTAGACCGAGAAAAACGTTTCCAAAAATCCTTGAGGAAGACAATCAGGGAATTAAAAGATGAATGTCTCATCAGCCAAGAAACAGCAAATAGACTGGAAGCTTTCTGTTGGGAGTGTTGTCAGGAGAGCATAGAAAGAGACTATATTTCATGAAATAATTCCATGTTATATTCTACCTAAAATTAACATTGGTACAGGTTTTTAGAAAATAATTCTTGTTTACCATCATTAAATAGCCATCATTTAGAGTGCTTCTTTGGGTCTTCTGTAGCATTATACATATAGTTGTTATTCAAAGACTTTGTTTTAAAGATTTGCAGAAATTTGTGCTAGTTATCATGTTTTTGTGTGATATGTGACAATTACGTTTTTATAGACCTAAACTAGTGCCAGTTCACTATTGTAAGATGTTAAAAGCTTAAAAAGATTCCACAGGACTTAGGAAATGAGGTCAAATTAGTCTCATTCAACAATGGTAGTAGGAATTGGACACTGCTTCGACAGCATCAGATTTTTGGCTCAAAGGAGTACCTTTACTTGTATGTACTTTATGGTAAGTAAAATGAATTATACTTTAAATGTACTTTACTATAAAGCAGAATTCATTTATGACACATGTCCCACCTTGGATCCAATCCAGGGTGCTTTTGTTAATAATAACAAAAGATTACACGGCATCCCATAGTACTGACCCTGAGAATAGCATATGGTACAGATCTGTTGGCTTTTAAAGTTGTTCAGAGCCAAGTTGAGAAGACCTCTGATGAGGTCACAGTTTTCAGTACGGTACATCATTCCTCCTCCGTCTTCTTGGCTAGGAGCACTTTCATATAAACCAGCAGAGGTTTAAAAAGCAAACAAAAAAAAAAAGGGGGGGGTCATAAATCTGATTTTTAAATGGTTGGTTGCTGACAGTTGTTCTGAACATTTTGTTTCATTATGAAGGAATCCTTTCAAAACCTAAATGCTAGTACTAGCTGAATATTTTTAAAGTTGCTTTGTATTTTACAGAAAGTAATGTTGCCAGCATTTCTAAAATACAAAATGTTGGTGAAATCATTAAAAAATTGTGACTCTTGCAGTTGTAATAGGAATTGGAGAAAGGGTTAGAATATTTTACTGTAATTAGGAGAGTAGATTACTGCCCAAAGGCTTTTATTTAAAGAAATAGCTAAGTAAAGCAGCAGCTTTAGAATAGCTTCTTACTGAATGTACACAAGAATGACTCTTAGCTATTTTCTGATCCAGGTGTCAGAAATTTAGCTTTTCTCCTAATTTCTTATTAAAAACAACTGAAATTTAGAGTCATAAATTGTGAATTAGAATAAAAATTACTAGCTCAAAACCAAACTCTACTTTGAAGCACATGTACATATTCAAACCACATTCAGATGTGTATGCTCTAGTAGTTAGAATTTGAGTATCAGTTGTTTCCATGTGTTAACTAGAAATGAATCGCAGTTTGTGCTAAAATTTTCATGGAAATTTTATTTGTGTTATATTGTCAGCAAGGATATGGTCACTTGAATTTCCTTTGTATTCAAGAATATTCTATATGTTGATGTATGTTATATTTTTATGTAGGTTTCCAAACCTTCCTCTGAATTGGAATCTTCCCACATTTGAGAGGTCAGCATTATGCTAAGAAGAAACACTGAGGTCATATCTTTTTACTTCCTAAAAAAAAATCTCATTAGCTACCCGTTATTTATTTTAGTTATTTAATTTTGAATAATGGACATTCTGATGGAAAGTTTGGGTACGATCTTAGGTTTTATGGAGGTACTATGATAGAGATGGAAAGTATTTCTGAGTATAAAAATTAAAGTCAGTGGACAATAGAGAAAAGTAGGATAGATCCAAACACAGTATGTCTACATTCAAGCTCTCTACTGGCTGCTTGGAATAATTCAAGCCTGGGAGACCTTTCCAAGAGTCCAGTCCCAATCTGTGCCACAATCACAGTTGTCACGGTCACCTTTGCTCACCGTGAACTCCGCCCTTGTCGTCTTTGTCATTGGTCTTAGTATCACTGAGAGATAAGTAACTGAGAGCAAAATCTTGGTATCATCAAGCACCCGGAGCTACCCATTTGCTCTTTATTCTTACAGAGAAATGATTACCAACAGAAATCTGACATAAGAAACAGGGTTCTCCCCACCTGCCACCCAGAACAAATGCCTGGATGCAGCAAATACCTCAGTCCCCTCTTCCAGATATTCCAGCCTAGCTCAGTGAGAAACTGTCCTGTGCAGAGCAAGCCAGTGACCCCATCCAGAGGTTTCTCAAGCAGCTGAGACCAGCCTGAGGGTTTCGCTTTGCTTTAAAGCTTGGAGTAGCCTCTGGATCCTGGAACAAACCAATACACCAGTTCAACCTCAGCACCAAATAAGGTACAAAGGACTTAACGTGGCATTTTTCTCCATATCAAGTTTAAATCTCTGGAAATAGACTTTGGTTGCTAAAGATAATCACAATTATACCACAGCCTTTGAGAAAAGATGAAATGTATTAAAATATGTAGTTTTAATGAAAAGGTAAAATATTACAGAAATAATTGAGTGTAGAATACATTATACATTTGGAAAATAAAATATTTTCTCCACTAATGTGCTGTATGTGATTTTTATACAGTTATCCAATAAAATGAGCAGAGAAAAATGAAGAGTATATATACTGTGGTTTTGCTTTAATCTCTCCTGCATTGTTTTCCCTCCACAATAACTCCAAAATCATAGAGTCTGCTAGGTTAAGTGATCCAAATGACAGACCTGCTTTTAGCACAATGTGGATGTGCCATAGAGCCCTTTCCTGCTTGTGCCTCACTCAAAACTGGCAGCTTTTCATGTCACCCAAGTATAACAGCTGAGAGCAGTATTTTTAGGTGTGAAATGTGCTCCCTTCGAAATCCAAAACGGCCTGTTAGGCATTGTGCTTCCTTCCTCACAGTGGGAGATGCAGGCCGTAATAATTTGTCTTTTACTTCAGAGGGGATGTCCTAGCATGCCCGTGCTCGCTGGATACTCCTCCCCTGAAATTTTACTGATCTGTCATACACATTGTCAAATTCAGTGCTTCTAGAGGGAAGCTCAAAGGTATAATTGGCTCCTCCATTGGATCAATGGGAAGGCCATGATAGTCAGTGGGTCTGCTGGAGGCAAGCTGGATGGGGCGTGAGCTCTCTGCACCAGTGACTGCCTTCTCCGTGGGCCACATGGTCTTCCTTTCATATCGCTTCCTCATGCTTCACTCCTCCGTGCTTCTAACAATTGTCCCATCTCTTACCGTCCTCCCTGCTGTGCATCTGGTCATAGAATGGGGCCTGATGCAAAGCAGGAGCTGGCCGGGATAAAAAAGGAAGAAAAAAAATATTGGATCAGGACCAGGAAATCCAAGAGCAGAAGAAGATGCACTTTGTGATCTAAGAACCGTGTGGGAGTTAACAGCACCAGGAACAGCCGTTTAAGAACAAGTGCTGAGCACATTCATCAATTCTACACGTTTTCAAGTACCAGGAACTGTATGCCAGGGCATGTGCCAGGCACTGGGGAAACAAAAGACTCCGTTCCTGTCCTCAAGGAGGTTACAGAGTAGTAACAGGGCCAGCAAGGAGTGCATCTCAGGAGAATGGGCTGTCCGATGCCTTTCTCCGCACTGCGTTATAGGATTACACGCATGCTCAGATTCATATCACACCTTAAAGCTTAAGTGCCTGAGTCTCACTCGGTCTCATTCATCTAATATTTATCTTAGGCACATGAAGAAGTTTACAGACTAACATTCAGTGTAACAACCCATCCATCACGTGTCCTGCTTTTAAAGCCCCATACCCTCTTGTGAGGGATGCAAAAATGAGATGAAGGCATCCACAACCTACAGGGACACAAAGTATCTAACAAATCTGGAGAAGTGGGCGACGACGTAGCAGAATTTAGGCAATTAAAGAAGGTGCCGAGACTGGGAGAGTAATGGAATCTCAAAGTTACAAAATGGAACATTAGTGTGTCAGTGTGGGCACTTTCCAAGTCCTGTCCCAGGATCTGGATTTCTCTTAGCACCTCCTCGGGTATGAGAGTAGCAGACCAACCCCCCCGGGAGAGAACCAAACAGACCTAGAGTCAAGGCCCAAGCCGGCCACTTTATCACATGTAGGACCCGGACCAACTTCCTGAATTTCTCTGCGCATTTACAAAGTAGACAGTAATGCTTTCCTAACCCAGTTGTGGTGACAGTTGTATTCCATTGTGTGTGAAACATAAAACAATGAGCTTTCCGTATATATTTTCTTTCTTTAAATTCCATGCCAGAAGCATGGAAAAAGGAGATAAGAACAGGAAGGAGGGCAAAAACAAGAGAGGAAAATGCATTTAGTGGGGAAGGGTAGTGGTACAGGCAACGGTGTGCCTTAAATAACTTCCCTCTCTGTGAGAGCTCAAAAGCAGGTAAAGAACACTGCCCCACTGAGAGAGAAAACTTAATTCATCCTTCTCTCCATCCTCCCACCTCAACCCTGGAAAGCCATTTAATCCAGATTAGATATGCTTCATTTATTCATTTGTTCGTTCAACTTCATAAAGCATCCTAGTGCTACTTAAAATGGGGTTCACAGACCAGCGGACAGAGTAAGGAGTTTGCAAGGAATGCAAATCAACTATGCCATGAAGCACACTGTAGTTTTAATAAAAAGGTAAAATATTACGGAAATAATTGTGGACTGTAGAATCCATTATACGTTTGAAAACTAAAATTTTTTCGTAGCGTTTTTTTCGCAAGACTTTTTTCTGTGAATGGAACGGTTGTAATGGTTGACGTTCTGGAACAACCAGAACGTTGCCGTATCTCATTCTGGACTAGTAAAAAAAAAAAAAAGATTTCACAGGCTCACGACTTTGAGTAACACTGTCTCAGATATCAAGTCACTAAACAGTCTTTGAACTATTCTTAGCTCCTTTGTGGTCGTTGGCAGCAAGGGAGCTCCTGACACATTTGTGTCATGTAATAAATTTCCCAAATCCTTGTGCTAGAGCTTGTGCACTTAAAAGATAATATCACATCTGACTCAGCAGATCTGGCCTCATGCTTTTTAAAATAGAAGTGTCGGGGCGCCTGGGTGGCGCAGTCGGTTAAGCGTCCGACTTCAGCCAGGTCACGAT